GTGTGGCAGAGATTAAGAGAAACAGGGAGGGAGGGAAGGAGAGAGAGAGAGAGAGAGAGAGGAGAGGAGAGAGAGAGAGAGGAGAGAGAGGAGAGAGAGGAGAGGGGAGACAGAGAGAGAGAGAGAGAAAACTAGAGAGAATGAGAGGAGAAAATGACAAAATGAGAGAGAAAGAGAGAGAGAGTGTGGTAGAGATTTGGAGGGAGAGAGAGGTAGAGATTAAGAGGGAGAAACAGGGAGGGAGGGAGGAAGAGAGAGAGGAAGAGAGAGAGGGAGGAGGGAGAGAGAGAGAGAGAGTGTGGTCGAGATTTCGTAGGGAGAGAGAGGAGAGAGAGGTAGCGATTATGATGGGAGGAAACAGGAGGGAGGGAGGAGAGAAAGAAGAGGAGAGAGGGAGAGGAAGAGAGAGATGGAGGGAGGGAGGGAGGGAGGGAGGGAGAGTGGGAGAGAGGGAGGAGGAGAGAGAGGGATGAGGGAGAGAGAGAGAATGAATGAGAGGATGGGGGAAAAATGACACAAAATGAGAGAACGCGGAAAGACGGAGAAATGAGGGAGAAAATGACAACATGAGAGAAGAGAGGAGCAAGGGGATAAAGGGGGAGAGGGGGGGGTGAGGAGAAAGGGGAGATGGAGGGGGGGGGGGGAGAGGAGGGAGGGAGGGAGGGAGAGAGAGTGGAGATCGAGCGAAGAGAGGGATGAGATGAGGGTGCAGAGAGAGGATGAGCAGAGATGGAGTGATGAGGAGAGATGAGAGATGCGATTGAGGGAGAGAGGGTAGAGGGAGAGGATAGGAAGGGACGAGAGACCGAGAGAGGATGTGGAGAGAGAGAGAAGGAGAGAGAGGAGAGAGGATGGACGAGTGCACATGAGAGGGAGAGAGAGAGAGACGACATAGAGGAGGAACTAGGAGAGAGGTAGTGCACAGATGAGAGAGACGAGGACCGAGGAGTTCTTTTTGCAGAGAGGAGAGAGGAGAGAGAGAGAGAGAGGAAGACGAGAGAATAGACGGACCGGAGGACGAGAGAGGAGAGAGAGAGAGAGAGAGGAGAGAGCAGAGTGAGAGAGAGTGGAGAGAGAGAATGCAGAGTGAGAGAGAGAGAGCAGAGCAGAGCAAGAGAGAGAATGCAGAGAGAGAGAGAGAGTGCAGAAAGAGAATGCAGAGAAAGAGAATACAGAGAGAGAGAGAATGCAGAGAAAGAATGCAGAGAGAGAGAGAGGGAGAGATTGCAGAGATAGAGAATGCAGAGAGAGAGAGAGAGAGAGAAAGAGAAAGCAGAGATAGAGAGAGAGAGTGCAGAGATAGATAGATAGACAGATATATAAAGAGAGAGAGAAAGAATACAGAGAGAGAGACAGGAGCAGAGGAGAGGGGGGAAGAAGAGAAATGCAGAGAGAAGAGAGAGAGAGAAGAGAGAGCGAGAGAGGACGTACGCTGGAGAGGAGAGGACGAGACGGGAGGAGGAGAGTGCAGTAGAGAGAGAGAGAGAGTGCAGAGAGAAAGAGAATGCAGAGAGAGAATGCAGAGAGTGAGAGAGAATGCAGAGATAGAGAGATAGAGAGAGGGGAGGAGAGGTGCAGGGAGAGAGGAGAGAGAGGAGAGAGAGAGAGGAGAGAGATGGTACAGAATGAGAGGGAGAGAAGAGAGAGAGAGTCGGAGAGAGAGAGGAGAGACAGAGATGAGATGAAGAGAGAAGAGAGTTGTTTGCAGAGAAGCGCAGAGAAGAAGAGGAGAGAGAGAGAGTGGAGAGAGTGCAGAGAAAGTGGAGAGAGAGAGAATTCAGAGAGAGAGATAGAGAGAGTGCAGTGAGAAAGAGAAAGTGGAGAGAGAGAGAGAAAGAATGCAGAGAGAGAAGAGAGAGAATGCAGAGAGAGAGGAGAGAGACAGAGAGAGAGAGAGAGAGAGAGAGAGAGAGAGAGAGAGAGAGAGAGAGAGAGAGAGAGAGAGAGAGAGATGAGAGCAGAGAGAGGGGGGAAGGGGGGGGGGAGGGAAGGAAATAACATGTAGATTAAATACATATAAAGCACTAAAGCTGGATGGTCACAAATTTGTGTAAAACTGATATTGTGATTACCTCCTGGTAATCAGGAAGGTCTGAGAAAGATTCTACAGTATACCGCCCATCTTCTTCTTCATGGTTAAACACAGTGATGAAAAGAGACATAAGTAGTTCTTGCACAAGACCTCCAACATTGGGAATTGAATCTTCTGAGCTACTCAACTCCAGACGTTTCTGAAAAGAAAAAGAATATAAGGGCAATTAGAATAAAAACATTAGAATTCATAGTTAAAGATAATCAAATAGATATCAAATTAACTTCATGCTAAAGATTAAAGTAACATTCTTGATGAAATACATTCTTAATTTATAAACTCAAAATTAAAACCCTGACACATGTACTCTTTTTTCTCTCTCTCACTCCCTTTTGTCATCCACTTCACATAATAAATCTATAAAATAAAAAATCTCTCTCTCCCTTTCTCTCTTTCTTTCTTTCTCTCTCGCTCTCTTCCCTTCTCTTTCTCTCTCTCTCTCGCTCTCTTCCCTTCTCTCTTTCTATCTCTCTTGCTCTTTCTCCTTCTCTCTCTATCTCTCGCTCTCTCCCCTTCTCTCTCTCTTGCTCTCTCCCCTTCTTTATCTCTCTCTCTCGCTCTCTCCCCTTCTTTATCTCTCTCTCTCGCTCTCTCCCCATCTCTCTCTCTCTCTCCCTCTCTCCCCATCTCTCTCCTTCTCTCTCTCTCTCGCTCTCTCCCCCCCTCTCTCTCTCTCGCTCTCTCCCCATTTCACTTTCTCTCTGGCCTTCTCTCTCTCTCTCTTGCCTTCTCTCTTTTTCTTTCTCTCTCTCTCTCTGGCCTTCTCTTTCTATCGCCTTCTCTCTCTCTCTCTCTCTCTTGCCTCCTCTCTTGCTCTCTCCCCTTCTCCCTCTCTCTCTCCCCCTTTCACCCCCCATCTCTCTCTCGCTCTCTCTCTCTCTCCCTCTCTCTCTTGCTCTCTCCCCATCTCTCTTTCTCTCTCGCCTTCTCTCCAGCTATCTCTCTCTCTCTCTCTGCCTTCTCTCCAGCTATCTCTCTTTCTCTCTTGCCTCTCTCTCTCTCTCTCTCTCTCTTGCCTTTCTCTCTTTCTCTCTCTCTATCCCTCTCTCTCTCTCTCTCTTTTGCCTTCTCTGTCTCTCTCCTCTCTCTCTCTCATGCTTTCTCTCTCTCTCTCTTGCCTCTCTCTCTCTCTCTCCCCCTTTCACCCCCCCCCCCCATCTCCCCATCTCCCTCTCACTCTCTCCCCATCTCTCTTTCTCTCTTGCCTTCTTTCTCTCTCTCTGCCTTCTCTCCAGCTATCTCTCTCTTTCTCTCTCTCTCGCTTTCTATCTCTTTCTCTGGCCTTTCTCTCTTTCTCTCTCTCTTGCCTTCTACCTCTCTCTCTCTTGCCTTCTCTCTCTCTCTTTTGCCTTCTTCGTCTCTCTCTCTCTGGCCTTTCTCTCTCTCACCTCTCTCTCTCTCTCTCTCTTGCCTTCTCTCTCGCTCTCTTGCCTTCTCTCTCTCTCTCTCTCTCGCCTTCTCTCTCTCTCTCTCTCTCTCTTGCCTTCTCTCTCTCTCTCTCGCTCTCTCCTTCTCCCCTTCTCTATCTCTCCCTCCCCCTTTCACCCCCCCCCCTCTCTCTCGCTCTCTCCCATCTCTCTTTCTCTCTCGCCTTCTTTCCCTCTCTCTCTCTGCCTTCTCTCCAGCTATCTCTCTCTTTCTCTCTCTCCCTTTTGCCTTCTCTCTCTCTCCCTTTTGCCTTCTCTCTCTCTCTCTCTTGCCTTCTCTCTCTCTCGCCTTATTTCTCTCTTTCTCTCTTTTGCCTTTTCTCTCTCTCTCTCACCTTCTCTTTCTCTCTCTCGCCTTCTCTTTCTCTCTCTCACCTTCTCTTTCTCTCTCTCACCTCCCTCTCCCTCTCACCTCTTTCTCGCCTTCTCTCTCTTTCTCTTGCCTTCTCTCTCTCTCTCTTTCTCTCTCGCCTTCTCTCTCTCTCTTGCCTTTTCTTTCTTTCTCTCTCTCTCTCTCTCTTGTCTTCTCTCCTAGCTCTCTCTCTCTCTCTCTCTCGCCTTCTCTCTCTCTCTCGCCTTTTCTCTTTCTTTCTCTCTCTCTCTCTCTCTCGCCTTCTGTGTGTGCTGTGTGGTGCAGCGGTAGTGATCTCGTCTCGCAATCTTGCTGACCTGTGTTCAAATCCCTAGCCGCCAGTGGATGGTGACCCCGGCCATTCCTTGCACACAGGGGATAACTTAGAAGCAAAATGAAACAGACAGTATGTCACACCGGGAATATCCATATCTCTCTCTCTCTGCCTTCCCTCCAGCTATCTCTTTCTTTCTCTCTTGCCTTCTCTCTCTCTCACACCTTTCTCTCTCTCTCGCCTTCTCTCTCTCACCTTCTCTTTCCCTCTCTTTCTCTCTGCCTTCTCTCTCTTCTCTCTCTCTCACCTTCTCTTTCCCTCTCTCTCTGGCCTTCTCTCTCTCTCTCTCTGGCCTTCTCTCTCTCTCTTTCTCTTGCCTTCTCTCTCTCTCACGCCTTCTCTCTCTCTCTCTCTCTTGCCTTCTGTCTCTCTCTCTCTCGCCTTCTCTATCTCTCCCCCTTTCACCACCCCTCTCTCTCTCTCTCGCTCTCTCTCCATCTCTCTCTCTCTCTTGCCTTCTCTCTTTCTTTCTCTCTCTCTCTCTCTCTCGCCTTCTCTTTCTCTTTCTCTCGCCTTCTCTTTCTCTTTCTCTCGCCTTCTCTCTCTCTCTTTTGCCTTCTCTCTCTCTCAAAACTAAACTAAACCTCTCTTTCTCTCTCACCTCTCTCTTTCTCGCCTTTCTCTCTCTCTCTCTCTCTCTCTCTCTCTCTCTCTCTCTCTCTCTCTCTCTCTCTCTCTCTCTCTCTCTCTCTCTCTCTCTCTCTCGCCTTCTGTGTGTGCTGTGTGGTGCAGCGGTAGCGATCTCGTCTCGCAATCTTGCTGACCTGCTTTCAAATCCCTCGCCGCCAGTGGATG